TTTTTTGAGCTGCGTCACTTTCACCCCAAAATCTCGAGAGTTTGCACACTACGCTCGAGTGCGAGCGTTCGAGTACTTTTGGCCAGCTAACGTCTAGTTCGGAACGGTGTCATTCGGAGTTTCACGGACGTCTTTAATTTCGCGGTTACGCTGTCTAAAGTTTTAACCCCGGCGCTCCAACTTCGACTTCCAACTCCCTTGGTTCCTGCAATCACCTTGACGCGTGATAAATTCGAATCAGCGCGAAAGTATGCAACCCTAACGTCAAAGTTTGACCTGAATCCTGTTCTAGCTAAGCCCCGATGTATAAAGTAAGTAGAACTCTCCCTATTTCGCGTGTATGTAAAATATATACCCCGTACATCGTCTAGTCGTCCCAATCTGTATAAATTTGAATACCACCGTATTAAATTTAGGATAAATACTATATTTGTTTTAAAACAAACGATAATTTACACAATAACGAGTCTGCAAATAATTATGAGATACTTGAAACTTAATTTAATTTTATTAACCAGAATAAGCATCGAATATTAAAACTGGAAAGTATCTCGTGCTACCTCAATTGATTATTTTATATATCGATACGATATATAAAAGAGAGCATGCTCCTCAAATATTGCGTGATAGAAGAACAGCAACATGTTTGGTCGAGAAAATTTCCAAAGCTAATCTAAAAGAAGACACATATACGTTGCAAACTATAAAAAGACGTGTAACGAGAACACGAATTATTTCTTAGCTTCTTAATACAAGACGCCACGTTCAAAACTGCTATGTTGTCCGCTCGCGTTACCGTCGGCCAATCTACACGCAGTTTCCTGCACAGAAGACTGCAATTGCACCTGAAGTTTAAGTGTATTCAAGAACGGTAATACGGTTATTGGACGCCGTTTAACGTTTCCATTTGCGTTGCGCTCGACACGGCGAGTTTACGCTCGAGATGTTATTGAATTTCTTTTCGTTAAACTCGATCTGAACTTGGCAATCAATCCCGGTGCCGCGTCCCGCGATTGTCCCCGCGGATCTCCAGCCTACCGCTTTTAAAACTTCCGTTCGAACACGATTTTTAATTATTCCCCGGGCCAGGCGGTGAGCGAGATAATTAATTTCAATTATAAACAAGGCGTGATCCCGTTCGCCAGAAAGAGAGAGAGAGAGAGAGAGAGAGAGAGAAAGAGATATAAAAAAAATTTGGGTTATAAAAGGTTATTAACTAGCAGGCTACGCGTATAAATAACTAGTTAGAAGGGACACGAATTACGCGTCATCCGTTTAGTAGAGCATCCGGGATCAGTAACGCGTGATCGGTAATCTCGCACCCTATTATGCATCGATTAATTTATTACGTGGAAGATTAAATTCTCGTCGAAGCGTTCCCCTTGTGATCCCGATAGGCAAACAATATTTATACGTGTCACCAAGCCATTCGACAAACAAATTTTCTATAAACGTCAATTCAAGAATCTTCTTCCGCTAGTCTCTTCTTATCAACCGATGCAGACATTCCTGTAACGTTTCGAAGAAAAGAAATTTAAAAATTTCGTGTTAAAAAAAAAAAAACTACTTTACAAGATCTTTTGTGAAACTTGTTTCAATGCTAGAGTAGAGTACTAGAGCAGGTAGGGACAGTTATTCTCTAGACAGAAGGAAAAATTTATACGCGTAACGTCGTAATGAGACGTAATCATCGTCTCTCCTTTCTCGCGTCTCCGCCTTCGCGAGGCAGCTTCAGCCTCGTTCCCTCCGCCGCTCGATTTGCATTTCAATTTACTACGTGTTCCCCGGTCCGGTTTCGGAATAAACAGCAATTTCGCGCGAACGCTCGATGGATCGTAAAGTACGACGACGTTTAATAATCGGCGTGGTAGAGAGCAAGGTCGACGTTGCACGGGGTCGGGAACTCCGCGGAGACAGAGGGTAAGTTACCCTCAGAGTTCTCTCGACCAGTGTTCGCGGCAGCTACTCGGAAGCGGAAGCACGGGACCCGAGTCCCCTGAATTATGGCTGTTTTCCAGCGACTTGCCTTTTCGAAAACTCGGTTCCACCCTCGGGCCGCTCGCAGTCCAGCCTTTCTACCTGAGATTTCTACGACGTGGCTTTTAAAGTGGAACGAATGGCGACGCCGTTCCATTTACCTTTTCACGTGGTGCACGCCCCTTCGCGTCCTCGAACGAACGCATCCCCCTCTGTACACGGTGTTCCAGTAAGCGTGGCATAATTGGCAAAGGAGCGAAAAAAACAAATGGAAAAGTGCGATGTAAACCTTTCTTTTTATAGAACGCTCCATTTCAAATTCGTCATTTAAATATTCATAATTATCAGTCTGTTATCCTTATATTGCAAACTGAAATCATAGATGATTTCCCATTTTTCATAAAACTTTGATACTTGACGCAGACTGTGTATTACGATAAAATTGTAAGTATGTTTAAGTTGGTTAAAAAGTAAATAATTGCGTTTCTTTTTTTGTAAATAAATGGATGTATATCTAAATTCATTGTGTATTCATTATGTTTGATAGCTGATTGTTCAAGCTTGTTTTGTGCAAGTCAAAAAGGAACATTATTGTCATATTTTGTTGTAACTTTCGAAAAGGAAAAAAAAAACGTCGTGCAAACTCATAAAAAATTATTTGATGTGCACGATGAAGAAGCCTCAAAGATTATCTGTGTCAGTATCGGAACTGGTTCGTTAAATTTCACTATTATTGACGAGGACATCAAATCGTTCTTGTAACTTTCTTTTGGCCAAAAAAAGGAACCTTTCTGAACGCGGAATCATGAAATTACCTTAAAGATGATCGAACAAAATGGTCAACATGTTAATAAAGTTTTTCTTTCTCACGAGATATTCGCCTTTCACTCGCACGCAAAAAAAAAAAAAACGCAGTTATCTTTTAACCAAATTAAACAAACTGTTACAACGTGGTTCGTCCACAGTCTCTTTTCGACTCAACGCATCGAATATAGTAACTGTTTTAAAACTTTTTAATGAAA